TTTTGAGACGGAGTCTCGCTGTCGCCCAGGCTGGAGTGCAATGGGGCGACTTCGGCTCACTGCAACCTTCACCTCCAGGGTTCAAGCGATTCTTTTGCCTCAGCCTCCCGAGTAGCTGGGATTACAGGCGCCCACCACCATGCCCGGCTAATTTTTGTATTTTTAGTAAAGACAGGGTTATGCCATGTTAGTCAGGCGGGTTTCCAACTCTTGACCTCAGGTGATCTGCCCCCCTCGGCCCCTCAAAGTGCTGGAGCCATCGCGGCATGCCATGAGAATGTTTTTTAAACGACAGTGGGAGCAAAGGCCAGGCCCAGAATTAAAGATGACAGGGTGGGATGGAGGAAGCAGGTGATATGAGAGGTGCGCTGGCGCGCAGCCACGAGGCTGAAGCAGACGCTGCCGGGCAGCGTCTCCAGCGGTAGCTGAAGTTTATGCTTAATCCCGAGGAAACAACGAGGAGGGCCATGGAAAGTAACGAGATACTCGATTCTTAGAAAGATTTGCAGGGGATAAGCCTGGAGGCAGGGAATCAATCAGTCAGGACCCGAGTCACCCCGGAGCTCAGGCAGAAATCAGCGAGAGCCCTAGCTGATGCAGAGGGCTGGAAGGCGTGAGGCTCTGGGAGGCTGGGCAGCTGGATCCAGCAGGACCCGAGGTCGTGAGGCCATTCCGTAGGCTTAGGACGCTGCTGAGACCCTTAGAATCAAGCGCGGACCACTGCATTAGCATGGGACAAACGGCAGAGATAGGGCTTGAGGGAGGGATGCCCGAGATTAAAGGTATTAAAGGCAAGTTGGTGTCGCGGCAAAATCAGCGTGGAAGGCAGGAAACGGGGGTTTCAGTCTTTCCTCGCTAATTCTAGAGATAGCTGCACATCAGAGGAAAAGAAGCGACGCAGCCATTTTTTTAATTATTATCAAGTTTGGCTGCTGCCGGACGCCGTAGATTTGTGGCACACCAAACCTTTAGCCCTCGTCTCCGCGGCTTTTCTTAAGTTTGATCCCAACCCCTAGCCGTAGAGTGTCTAATTTCCGTCTCCGAAGCTGGCGTCCACCAAGGAACGAATGCTAGGCGCGGAAGAGCGTGCGCAGAAATGGCGCTCTGTACGTGTCCCCCGACCTGACGTCTGCCACGGGCGCGCGCTCGCACGCCGGAAGGGGCGGAGCCAGATTTGGCTTTATATAGCGGATACGGAAGGCGGACCGATCTCTACTGTCTGGATTTGACGGCGTGATGGTATGTGTTATAATGGCGGCTGTTTCATTGTTACCGGCGTCGGCTGAATCCGCGACGCATCGCTGCCATCCCGCCTTGACTGGCGCGGTGGACCTGCTCTAGGAGCACGGGCGACATAGCGGGGTCCTCACTCAGGCGTATTTTCTGGAAAGTCTAGAGGCTTGTGGAGAAGAGCGCTTGGAGGACTGGTTTGGGGCTTGCAGATCGGCCAGAGGGAGGCCCTAAGGGTGGGAGCAGGCTAGGAGGCCTGGTATGTTTAAAGCCATGAGTGATTTCTGAGTTTCGGCCTCACCAGTGGTTTCGTTAGTCGCGATTAGGGCCCATGAGGAGCTTGCCTGGCTATGAGGACCTTGGGTGAGGATTCTCGGTGCTGTTTTTATTGGGTGGTAAAGAAGCTTGCGAGTGGAGAGGTTACGGGAGGGATGTGTTGCGGAGGCCTCCTTCGCAACACAACACAATATTTGGGACCGCAGGTGCACTCCTAAGGCCTCTGGAGCTCTCAGAAACCACAGATGATGAACTTATTGACGGGCGGACAGAAACTATGTGCTGATTGTCAATGTTCTGATTTGGCTCTGCCGAGTTCTCTGGCCTACGTGTGTCGGTGTAATTAGTGTCCGGACTGCTACCCAGCATTGTCCCTTTCTTAAGTGGTTAAAATCTTGTTAATTGGCCCGTTAAGCAGCTTTGAGTGTCCACTATTCAATGTGTTTTTGTCTGGTTTTAGAGAAAACAGATGGCTAGTTTTCTTAGACGTTGAGGATTTGAAATGACGTTCAGCTTAAATTTGCCGAATACAAAAGCATTCTTGACACGTTCGAGCCTGCGAAAAGAATTATCCTTCTATTAGGCTTGCTGGATGTCTCGTCAGGATTCAGTATGGCTGAGATTTGTAGCCTAGGCAGCTGGGAGCTAGAGAAGAGGGGACTGCTTTGGTTTGGGTGCTGACAGTGAATCCCTCCCCCCACCCAGTCTCACAGGAAGTTCTCCGCTCCCAGACATGGGTCCCTCGGCTTCCTGCCTCGGAAGCGCAGCAGCAGGCATCGTGGGAAGGTGAAGAGCTTCCCCAAGGATGACCCTTCCAAGCCGGTCCACCTCACAGCCTTCCTGGGATACAAGGCTGGCATGACCCATATCGTGCGGGAGGTCGATAGGCCAGGATCCAGTAAGTACAGGCATCCTAAAAGTTACGGGGATAGGAGTTGAGGGGGAGGGAAACCGTAGAGATGGAGTCAAGCTGTTATCAGAGGGCAGACTTTTTAAGCAGGAGCTACAGGTTGTCAGAACTGCTCTTACAGCAGAATGGGAACGCTCGACTTCAAGGTTGATACTCCAAGGGTACAGATGGCCAGCACTGTTTGTTTTAGGTTTGGGTGTTGATTTCAGAGCATAGTAAATTTCCCAAGAGCCCTAGCAAAAAGAAGTCACAGTAGTGTGGGGTTGGAGCTGCTGAGGCTGGAATAAGAACTGTCTCATTCAGGTTTTGCTTGTTCATGCGTATGTCACTTAAAGGTTTGTATAATAGCCACTTAGTCGTCTGTTCTATTTAGAGATGTCTGATAGCATGGGTTGCTGAGCCATGGAGATGCTAGTGTTAGGCAGTTGATAGTGACTCTATGCTGAGCTCAGCTGTTTCTGTGTCCCAATTATACTCAGGACACTGCATTGTCCAGATAAATGGCAAACCTTGTCTGCCTCCAGAGCTTTGCATAGAAGAGAACTGAAGCTGGGCAGGTATTTGCCTGTTAAGGGTCCTGATACTTTTTAAGTTACACAACATAAATGTACACCAAATGAGAAATTCGTAGTAAGCACAGTCCTGTGAGTCTAGACTGCAGATGTGGGCCTACATGGACACTTTGCATTTTTCTAGAAAATATTGCACCCCTTGCTTGGGCTCCTGCCATGTCTGATGACCGCCTTTTTTTTGCAGAGGTGAACAAGAAGGAGGTGGTGGAGGCTGTGACCATTGTGGAGACGCCACCCATGGTGGTTGTGGGCATTGTGGGCTACGTGGAAACCCCTCGAGGCCTCCGGACCTTCAAGACTGTCTTCGCTGAGCACATCAGCGATGAGTGCAAAAGGCGTTTCTATAAGAACTGGTAAGGGAGGAGGCCATGCAGTCCCTAGGCTGGGAGCTGGAGAGCAGGGAGCAGTGTGTGCATGGCCTATCACCTCTCTAGCAGGCGGGAGCTGCTGTCTCAGGTTTAGTTTGCCTCTTGAACAGACATTGACCAGCCATTGGGTTTCAGTTGGAGCTGACACCCTCATTCCGAGTCCAGGCTAGTAGTGTGTGGTGGCCGAGGACCCAGTGTTTGAGTCCAGCTAGAAACCAGGAGAGGTAGTAGGATTATTCAACCCCCATAAGGGTGGCAAGGGCCTCTGGCCCTGGCTGGAATGTCCCATTTCCTCCATCACTGAGTGGGTGCCTCCCCCAAGGTAGAGTACTTTCTAGCACCCCGGAGCAAGAATGTTTTTGAATGCTTGTAACTTAAATTAACCTTGTGGACCTTTGCTCAGCTCCGCTCGGCTCTGCCCGATGAGCTCCATCCAGGCTCCGCTTGCCGGTGGAAAAGGCTCCTTAGAAGCCGGCAATGAGCCCCATCCCCATGCGGTGCCAGTGTACCTTCCACTCACCCCTCGGGTGATGAAGGCCTGCGCCCGGCCCCCCTCCCCAACTCTGCTCTGCTCCTGAAGGCATAAATCTAAGAAGAAGGCCTTCACCAAGTACTGCAAGAAATGGCAGGATGAGGATGGCAAGAAACAGCTGGAGAAGGATTTCAGCAGCATGAAGAAATACTGCCAAGTCATCCGCGTCATTGCCCACACCCAGGTGAGCACAGTGCCACGGGGTGGCTGGGCCTGCCACTTTGTGGAGGTGACCTATGTGATCTTGTGGGTAAGCTTCTCCCTTGCCAGCAGAGGGCACTGTGTCTTCACTGGCCCTTAGCAAGGGAGGCATGCCCCTTTAAAATTCAGCTAGTTGACCCAACTGGTGACTCACCAGTACACTGAAATGCCTGACTGAAAGGTGGTGGCTGCTCTTCTTGAAACCTGGCTTGTGAGCTGAACAGGCCCTTTATTGAGTTGGTTAGAGTAGGTGCCTCTGGCTGTCTGTTATCCTGGCCAATTTCAAGTGCTCAGTACAACCACCTGTGGTGAGTGCTATCACAGATAATATAGTGCATGTCCACCATTTCAGTTTTGTCAGGACATTGCCAGGCTGTCCTGAAGCGAAAGCTTTATGCTTAAATGCATTTTCTTACTCAGAGCTTGCACTCTGAAAAAGCAGGCTTGTTACTAGGGCAAGTGTAGGTGGCTTTGGTAAAACCACTGCAATATCCCAAAGGAACTGACCTGAAGGACAGCCACAGGAGCATGGGGCTGGCAGGTGCTGGGATCTGGTTGTTTGCCTGTGGTGTGGGCCCCGTTGGCTCACCCTGACAGTAATTCAGGCACCAGAATCCAAAATTAAGTTATTGTTGGCAAGAATGGAAGTTCCTTTGTTTTGGTGAGGTGGAGTAATTTGTTAAGAGTTGGCTTATTTTTGCCATGTGCTTGGCATCAGACATGTGGAGCTGCAGTCCTCTGCTGTGGGAGGAGCACTGGCAGCTGGAGCTGAGCTGTGCCCACTTCCTCCTAGATGCGCCTGCTTCCTCTGCGCCAGAAAAAGGCCCACCTGATGGAGATCCAGGTGAATGGAGGCACCGTGTCCGAGAAGCTGGACTGGGCCCGT